GTCTCCAACACTCGTCGAAGATGGTCAAGATGTTCCTCCAAGGTCCGGCTATAGACGAGGATGTCATCCAAGTAGACCAGCACGAACCGGTCCAACATTGCTCGGAACTCGTTGGTCATCGCCGCTTGAAAAGTCGCTGAGGCGTTGGTGAGTCCAAAAGGCATAACAACCCACTCGACGTGCCCGTATCGTGTCTTGAACGCGGTCTTGTAGCGATCTTGCGGCCGAATCGAGATATGATGGTATCCCGACTTCAAGTCCAGCTTAGAGAAGAATTTTGCACCGCTCAAGCGCTCCAAAAGGTCGTCAATACGAGGAAGAGGTCCCGCGTTCTTAACGGTTTGCGCATTGAGCTCGCGGTAATCGATGCATAGGCGAAGGTCCTTGTTCTTCTTCCGAACGAAGAGAACTAGCGCACCATAGGGTGAGCTACTAGGCCGGATCCAGCCTTTGTCCAACAAGTCGTCGAGCTGCGCGCGGAGTACTGTAAGTTCCTCCTCGCTCATGCGATAAATGCAACCTTTCGGCGGCACGACAGTCTTGTAGCGATCTTGCGGCCGAATCGAGATATGATGGTATCCCGACTTCAAGTCCATCTTAGAGAAGAATTTTGCACCGCCCAAGCGCTCCAAAAGGTCGTCAATACGAGGAAGAGGTCCCGCGTTCTTAACGGTTTGCGCATTGAGCTCGCGGTAATCAATGCATAGGCGAAGGTCCTTGTTCTTCTTCCGAACGAAGAGAACTGGCGCACCATAGGGTGAGCTCCTAGGCCGGATCCAGCCTTTGTCCAACAAGTCGTTGAGCTGCGCGCGGAGTACTGTAAGTTCCTCCTCGCTCATGCGATAAATGCAACCTTTCGGCGGCGCGACACCGGCCTCAAGAATGATCTCGTGCGAGATCGGCCGATCCGGCACCACGCCGGTAGGTGACTCGAAGACGTCGGCAAATTCGTCGAGCAACCGCACCACCCGGGGGTCTGAAGACAAGTCCGTGGGTTGAGAGTCGGCTACCGCGACGGTTCGAAGAAAACATAAGCCGATCTCTTCGGTCCGCTCGTAAGCACAAGTGGCCCGAAAAGACTTGGCGGTTACAACTTGGCACCGGATCGAAGTCTGCGGAGGAGGAATGGTACATGGTACTTCGGCGCCGAACGCGTCGCGAACCATAAGTGTCCGCGGGTGGAAGTTGACCGTGTGATCCGCACTTGCAAGCCAAGGCATGCCCAAAATGATGTCGAAGTCCGTGTCCAAGACGTCGAACGTCACCGGTTCGCATGCATGAGGTGCAAAATAAACCAGGACGGCTTCGATGTAGCGATCAAGGAGTTGTTGCGTTTGACCGTCCACCAGCTTGATCGTCATAGGGTGTGCCTTCCTTCGAACTTGGTCCAAGGCCGACCCTTTGCATGAAGGACTGGCTAATGAAGTTGCGAGTCGCGCCGCTATCCAGCAAAGCACTGCAGGACGCTTGCCCGATTTGGATGCGGACATAAAGGAGCGGTGAGTTGTTGTCATCGTACCGCTGCGTGCGAAACTCGCGGGCCACCTTGCTCACATACGCAAGAATGTCCCCCACCGCGACCTCGTCCTCCATAGGCGAAGTTGGTGGTGCATAGAAGGCTAGGTATGTATGTAAATGGGCGCGAAGAGCTGCGCATTGCGGCTTCGGTAAGCAGTCGGTGGAAGGGAGAGAAAGCCATGCAAAATCCTCGGGCGTCAACGGGTCCAAGTCCTCAATGTTGAACGCGTGCGCCGAATCCCGTGAAGGTCCACTTGAAGACGAATCAATGCTGCTGCTTCCGATCGGAGAAGAGACCGCATCCTGTCCTTGGGCTCGTGAATCCAGCGAAGGTACGAGCCGGGCAGCATAGTCCTCGAAAGAATGAAGAATAGGACTTACGACGTCCGCATGTGCCCCGGAACCGAGGGAGGTTACCCGACCGGCAACCGGTTCCGTAGGCGTCGAGAGTGTCGTCGCAACACTCTCGGCGGTGCTCACTTTCCCGACTGAGCGGGGCCTTTGGCTTTCGTGGGGCAGTTCGCAGTCTCATGGGCCGCGCAATTGCACCACAAACAATAACGGTACTTGGTACGGACGCGATACTCGCGCTCCGTCAAACCGTACGCTGTCCAAGGTCCTTGAGCTGGAGCTGCTTGCCCGGGCCCAGAAGAAGTATTGGTGTTGGTCTTCGGCTTGCCGCGTCCTCGTCCTTTGGCGGGGCGGCCACCATTCTGGGCAGCTGCGAGTCTGTCTCCCTCGTCAGACGAAACAGCCTCGTTTGAAGTAAAAGGGTCACTAGTCGTTGTCGCTACGACCATGGCCACTTTCGGCCGATGCTGATGCGCGCCCTGGCCGACATTTGACGAAGGGCCCGTATTTCGGGCTGCCAAGTTCGTCACAATGATCTGCGCGGCCTTGTTGAAGAGTTCCTCGCTTGTGGTGAGGGTGTCGGCGACATGAGTCAACGCATTCTACAGCGCTGGGCACGACCTCTTGATGAAGTAGAGTTTGATGCCGTCGAAGTTCATCGGCAACTTGGGCGTGCTTGCCAGTCGCTGGTACTCGGATATCCAGTCTCCGCTTGGCATACTGTTCTGCGAAAACGTCAGCAGCTTGTCCATCGCCTTGTGCTCGAGCGGTTCTACTTGGAAGCGCTTCTTCCATGCCACCGTGAGATCTGCCCAGGAGATGTAATTGTGCAACTCGGTGACTGTACATGCATGGGCGGACAGCATGTTGTCCAACCATGCCTGACACGCGCCTCCCGAGCGGGAGTACAAGTATGCATGCCAATTTGCGTCGATGACGTGGTGGATGTCCAGCTTGAGTTCAAACTGGCGCCGCCATTGGATGGGGTCGGTCTTCGATGCGTCACAGAAGATCGGGAGCCCGTCAAACTTGACAATGGTCTCGCGTGGCGCCGTGCTGGAGCTGGCTGCGGCACAGACGTGCTGTTGTGCCCCGGCCTTGAGTGTCCCCACGTCTATCTCCAAGACGTTGATGCGGTCGGCGAGATCGGTGRGGCCGGCGCTGGCATTGGCGTTAGCGACCTGCTGCTCCAGCTGCTGAATGCGCTTGAGCATCTGGTCCGTTGACTGCTGTAACGCCTTGTTGGTGTTGTCGAGAGAGTGGATATCCTCCTGTTGCGCGATGCAAGTCGCGAGGAGGTCCGTGACACGGTTGAGCAGCTRARATACTMTGCTCCCGACGTCAACGGKATCGCYGCTCTCRGCCTCCTTCTGCCAATCGTTGGCTTGTGCGTATAATGCATTTTCCTCCCGGAATAGAATCTCGCGTCGCCGTGTGCGTTCCCCATCCGCTGCCTTGGCTGCTGCTTCCGCGTGCTTCTGCCGCTGTTCTTCAGCCAGAAGACGCTGCTTCTCGGCATCTGCTTCCCTCTTCTTCCGTGCTGCTGCCGCTGCTTGCTTTCGGCCATGATGGCCGCCAGCCGTGCCTCGTAGGCCTCGTCAGTCTCGCCTGGCCTTTGATCCATCGCTGCTGTTTGCGAGCGCGTAAGTATGGTCATGCGCGGCGGGTTCCTGACGTGGCCTGCTGAAGCGAGGACTTACCTGGCCTGCAACTGCAGGTGAATGGGCAGTAAAGAAGGAYGGAGAAGGGTTGAAGGGTTGGGGTGGAGARAAGGGGGATGGGCAATCAGATGGGTCGCCCAGATATGGAGCCACTAATCAAGAAAAAAGTTGCRAACTTGCAGCAATTTCGAAAAAAAGAAAATTTGGAATTTGCAAGCTYGGTAGGCTCTCGAAATATCCCCTCAGCAGTCAATTTGAAAAAAAATTCGAATTTWAGGCTGCAAATGAATCACAATCGTAAATGGAGATGATGGGGAAGAACTGAACTGCGAAAACAGTAAAAAAAGAATACCAATTTCCGCAAGTCCAGAGAA